AGACGAACCCAAAAGAAACATTCAACAGGAGGAAACAGAGATGGAGAGAAAATTAAATCTGCAGCCAGACACGGATTAGTAAGAGGACAACATGTCTCTTGGTCAAATCAAGAAGTACATCCTCCTGTCCAAGCAGCTCATTAGTTTGAATACTGGCACACCTACTAACCAAAGATCAATGAGGCAGAATGAAGCTAGATATAAGCAAAGGAATTGCTTAAAAGTCTTTGATAATTTCCATGACATCCAACCTTTTAGCTGCCATCTCAAAGTGAGCCTAAAGACGAACCCAAACCTGCAGACCAAGGCAGTCCAAGAGAGAGCACCAGACAAGCAATGCTCTCCTTTACTGGCAATAGTTCAAGATCAACCTCGCAGCCAAAGATGGCACATCCCTCAAACCGCCTTGAGACATCTCCATCGCATAGGTAAAAGCAGAAAACAAGGACAGAAACATAAACTAGAAATAGGATCTGAAATGGTGGAGTTTTTAGCTCTCACAGGCCACAAGGGAGATCCCAGCCCTTGTGCCTGATTTACCCATATGGATCATGGCGCCATTGTTGGCTGTTTGGGGACAGCCACTGAACCCCTCATAATCATCATTGATCTTCTGCCCAAAGACAACACTCCAGAAACTTTCCAACAGATTCAAGCACTCTCTCATCAAGCACCCAAAAGCTTTCATTCAAATACATATACTCAACAGATTCAATCCCTTGATCACGTTAAGCAACTAGAAGGATACTCACACACCTCTAAAGACAACTTTCAGAACCTTTAAAGCTATCGTGAACCAGAAATTGATCAATCAGCTAACAAGTCACAACCATCAACATATATAAAGTCCCTAAATATATGTACTTAAAATTATGGCGAACACAGAATCACACAGACCGAGCAACAGAGAATTAAATTCTTAATTCAGATGGTAGGAGGTCCCATTCAGGAAAAAGATCAAATCCTGTCAATATAAACTACTGCACCACATTAATCTATAAGAATCTTTTATGGAATAGGATTTGGGAACCCAAAAACAAAAATTGAATGTAGCTAAACTGCGTCCAAGGCAACAACAGGAATAGAGGAGAGAAATAAATCTAAAAATAGAGGGGAATAAAGGAAAAACAAGCAGAATCAGTTCTGAAACAGCTTATAAATAACACACTTCATATCATAATATATGAAACAACACCACTACACCAGTTCTCGATCACATCAAGTAGTTCACAGAATTAACTAAAAGTGAATCAGAATCATCACATAACAAGTTGTATGGGGTACCTTAGAAAATAAAATTACCCACAAGAGTATATTCAATTTGCATAGTTCAACAAACTCCTAGCTAGACACTATCCAGGAGCTTCAGATCACTGCAAGAACAACGCTTTTATTCACCAACGGAACTGGCTTTCACTTCATAATGGACTGTCATCATGCCTCGTGCTCTCTACAAACATAGTCTTTTTCATAAATAAATAAATAAATAAATATATATATATATA